AAAAAGTAAAGCCTTATGTCTAAATAAGTTATGTTCCAAATTTGAAGTTGATATGAAAAAAATTGAGGTTTCTGTGAGGTTTTATTTAGGGCGTTATACCACAAACAGCCACCAGGTGCAATCAAAACTCCATTGAATTTTTTTAATGTATTTTTCTGTCACAAATTTCTAGATTTCTCTGTCAATATTAAATATGTCAAATATGTCAAATATCAAATATGGAATCCTGAGACTCAGACCTTTCCAATTATATGTTTTATGTCAAGATTATAAAAATTTTGATTGTAAAAGACCGTTATGCATTTTGTAATATGACACTTGACACCGCCTGCTAAGGGGGAGGAGACCACCAAAAGATTTTAAAGCACCATTCCCATGGTAACGCAATGTCCAATTTCAAAATGGTTTTCACAGAATGAATCTTGGACTTCTAAGCTTTCAAACGATATATAATTTATGATGATTACTAAAATATTTGATAGAGAAAAAGGACAACAATATTAAAGAGCGCCAAGCGTCCCACAGGTGGGACGGTGACAGTTAAGGGGTTCATTAAATCTGTTGTGTTTTTTTTAATTTGCTGAAAATCCCATTACAGGATGCCAAATTTCAGGTTCATATGTGTCAACTCGCCACATATAGTCTGATAACATGACACACTATTGCACCAGGTTATCACAAAAGATCAACATCTGTTTAATGAACTCGATTTCTTTTTTCCCCTGTGCAATAACGGTTGAAATTTACAGCTTTTTGCAGCCAGAACTAGAAATAGAATGTTGACTCTATACTGAAAAATATTCACAAGAGTAAAAAGTGCGACAACTAGCCCCTTTACAAACTATAACACCTACCTCTGTCTACCCAGTAATTCGTGCCTTCTTTATAGATTATAGCACGTGAATGACTACATAACTTACCTCTCCTGAATCTACCGAGTCCCCCAAATGCTCGAGAGTCACGATGCCTTTGCTTTTGGTCTCGTTGTCGCTGAGGATGTCATCCTCCGACTCGTCAAACGCTGTGGAGGAGCCGTTGGAAGAGATGGAGGAGTTGGAGAGTTTGCGGCGCAACCGTCCGTTCACCTCCTCCTCCAGATCCTCCTCAGTGATCTCCCGTGAGTCCCCATCAGACGTGATGGTCACCTGCGGAACTAGGCACCCTCTCCCCGGGTTACCGTCGGAGAGAAAGCCTGCTTGCCCACTGTACTGTTCCGCCATCTGTGCTTGATCATCACAAATCTCTGTGGATGAAAAGTTTCCTGCGCGTCCTCCTCCTCCTCCTCCTCCTCCTCCTCCTCCTCTCCCTGGTCCGTCGCAAACCGGAGACGAATGTGAGAACACCGCCTCTGTTTGGGCATCGAGGTGCCTGGAGGGCTCAGATTGGGCTATCCCACCTCTGTCCGAGGGGCCAGAGGCTTGGTACTGTCAGAGGCTTTGTTTCCAGTAAGTTATGTAACAAACGATCTCCATCCAGATAACTTTGTTTTGCTTAGCGTGAGTCCGTGGACGCACATTCACATCCTGGGAGCCCCTGTAAACAGCGCTCGAGCTGGGTGAACACACATCTTCCGCGTTTGAAGCGTTTCCCCGCTCTTCCTGACTTTTAATTTGACTTTTGCTTGGTAGCGCATTTCCTTATTCAGTGTAGTATTCGACCACACTGCTGTTTATTGTCTATTCGTGTATACATCGGGGTAAACCTTCACTTTGTCCATCTGAACTTGCAGAGTGGACTTTAAATATCAAAATAACAAGGAATGTAGTCTGCATGTTACAAATGTAGTAAAAGTAAAGATAAAATTATTCAAAATCACATGAATTAGGTCTACTATGATTTCATTCAACTATGTTGAGATATACAACAGTTATAAAGCATCGTATATTACAAATGATTTTCTTACTGTTGTTTATCAGATTTATGCTAAATTACAATTAGAAATATGCAAAAAATAAATGCCAAAAAACAGCTTAAATACTATTTAATATCTAATCCTTTACTGAGAATATCTCATTCTCATTCAAGTTTACTAGGGTAGCTATATAATTCATTCATACATGTTGTGGTTGTCAGAATTTGAAGGAAAAAATCAGTGAAACAAGCATTTTGGTGACTGTATATTTTAGAAACTGTAGGCTATAAATTACAATTAGAAATATGCAAAAAATAAATGCCAATATATATACAATAATAAACAGCTTAAATACGATTTAATATCTAATCATTTACTGAGAATATCTCATTCTCATTCAAGTTTACTAGGGTAGCTATATAATTCATTCATACATGTTGTGGTTGTCAGAATTTGAAGGAAAAAATCAGTGAAACAAGCATTTTGGTGACTGTATATTTTAGAAACTGTAGGCTATCTCATTAAATTATATAATACTATCTATTGGAACTATTAAATCTTGTTGTTACTGTAAAATGTAGCCAACTGATAATAAAACAGATGTATAATGAAAGGTCATATGATGACGTAAAATTAATCAGAATTGCCCTTTCCAGTAACTGTGGTCATACAAACGCAAAACACATAACACACGGCACAAAAAGAATGAAACAAACGTCAAATAAATAACATAAAGCATTTCAATGTACATTCTGGGAATGACCATTTCACCTTAAATGATAATGCATGCACTTTTTATTTCTAAAAACACTGTTATCAACAATATTTTACCCTGATTTGTTAAATATAATATCGATTTTCTCTGTAAATTAGAACGTAATTCTACTTCTAAACAATTTGTATGTACTAAAACATTTTAAAGGAAAATCACATTTAAGCTATTGTTTATTAACTGACTGTGATCTTTCCTGTTAAGGATTATAAAATATTATTTCATCTGCTTTAAAATATTTGTAATCATTTTTACAGTACCTATATGTTAAGGTAACTTACAGTTAAGTTTTTATAGCATCTTAATGTTCCTTTCCTACAGTGTTTTGTGATAGTTGTCATAGCGTTGTGCTGTAGTTTGTGCTTCCTCGCAGTAGGTGGCAGTAAAGCTCTAGTGGCAGGTAAAGGTCACGCACACAACACAAGAAAAGCAGAATGCAATTCTTTCCAGAGCATTTTAGTGAAGTTCAGGATTGCTTCCTGCACTCTTCAACTATCCGAGTGCAATTGCATAATTAACTCAACAGTTTTTGCCTGTTTTGTTCTGCCTTTATTCTGCAGTTAGTGATGGGAAACCGAGGCTTTCTGAACCGTTTGAGGCTTTCATCAAATTGTGGCGAAAAACGGTTCATTACTCGAAGCTTTTTAACACAGTGCGCATTAGCGACATCTGGTGGTCAGACTCGGGTTCTCCAGCCTATCTAACGAAACATCGCGGAGCAGAGGATGGGTTGAAAAAGTTTTTAATCTGTGCCAACTCGTGTCATG